CACACACACACACACACACACACACACACACACACACACACACACAAAAGAAGCGCCGCCCGCCTCTCACTTGTCCGCGTTAGTGGCCAGGATCTGCTTGGCATACTTGGGATCAGATATGATGACAAAGGTCTTGGGGCCAAACGACAGCCGGAAGATCTTCCCGTAGCGCTGTTGGTGATGGCAATGTGGGGGAGGGTGTTTGTGTGAGAGTGTATGAGTGTATATATGTGTGTTTGAAAAGGGGGGGGGGTGGGAGTGGGCAGTGACGACAAGGCAACAAGGGCTCACAAACGAGGGCTGCACGCAAAGTACCAACTCTTGCAGCGGCGAGCCCGCAGCGGCAAGCTGCCCCCTCAAGGATAGGTGGCCGCGAGCGGTGGCGCCCCGCAAACGCCGCCGGGCGCAGCAGCACGCGGCGCGGCGCGGGGGCGGCGTTCTGCACGTCGCGGTACGCCCCTCACCTGGGCGAGGCGGTACAGCGGTACAAACACGGGCTGCCCCACGATCTCACGGATGTCCCCGCGCGCCTGCGGATGACACACGTGATCGGGTCGGTTGTGAGCGGAGCGCCTCGTCGCCCTCTCCCCGCAGCAGCCGGGCGCTGCGGGGTTGTGGAACGCTCGGCCGCGTGCGCCGCAGCACAGCGCCCCACCCCTGGTATTGCCGGCGCCGGGTTGTGTGGGCTGATGCCCAGCCGCAAGGCTGTGGCGGCGCGGTGTGTGTGTGTGTTGGGGGGAGCGCAATGGCGCACCTCTGGCATGCGGCGCGCGGCAATGGCGCGCCACTGCCGCCCCAGCTGCGCCAGCTGCAGCGCCAGGAAGCGGCCTGGCGGCGGGGGATGCAAATTGAGTGCCGGGGTGGCTGTTTGCTTTTGCTGCGGGGGAAAAGGCAGCCAACTCATTCTTTCAGTGTCCGGCGGGCGACGAGGACGGACAGCGCGGTGCTCCCCCGCAGGCGGCCACAGCGCGAAAATGTTGCATTGGCGCAACTGGGCCGGACATATATTGCAAGTCGGGGCGCCACCGCCGACGACGAGGGAGGCCTGGCCCTGGGCACGCGCCGCGGGCGCAGGTGCGCGCGCGCGGTTGCCACACGCCCCCTCGTCGCCGTGCGTCACGCAGTTGCGGCGGCCGCGGCGCGGGGGTGCACTCACCGATGCCGACCGGGTCCTGGGCGAGCAGCTTCCTGACTGGTCGCGTAATCCTCTCCTTTGTGGATCCCACATCGGAAAACTCGCCACTGGCGATGCGATCATCGAGGGTGCTCTCGTCAATGCTCGACTGCACCGATCCATCGCCATTGGCATGCGTGACGACCACTCTTCTAGCCACAATGGGCGCCCTCACAGGGCGCGGAGCCGCAGCCCTCGCCCCTTGGGGGCGAGCTCCTCGCAGGGTCGTGCTGTGCGTTTGCATCCCGCCGACTTGTCCTGTAATAAGATATCAATAGCTCGATATCACAGCCGATATCACCGATGCCGTTCCCGGCTATAAAAAGCCAGTCAGCGACGGAATAGTGAGTGGTGAGACCAAGCAGGAGGCCGCGTTTTGCGGCCTGAACAGCCAAATATGACCAATCATGCCCTCAACGGCCAATGACTCGGGTGCTGCGCGCAGCCTGGTGCTGGGAGACTGCTCCCAGAGCCCTCCCACTTGCGTCCACTTTTGTGGCATGCAGTGCTGCTGGGCAACCACGGTTGGCGAAGAGCACTTTGAGCTGGGTGAATTGCCGCCATGGAGCATCCGTCCACCCTCCGATGAGCTTCAAGGCAAACGCCCTTGCTTGCCGGAGCCAGGCATCGCACCCGGGTCACATGATGTGCCAAGTACCTCATTGCAGCCAGGCTGCCCGACGGTGCGAGAACCCCCGGGCAACCTGCACCTTGCTGGCAAGGCGAAAGGATCAAGGCGCGCCCCATCTTGAACTCAGATTCAGCGGTTACACAAAAACGCAGCCGCGCCCTCCACCCCCGAGCCGCCGCCAGCGGCCCCGGGCAGAGGCATGCGCCGGCCCCCAGGCCGCCGCCCTAGCGCCTCTTCTTGCCCTTGCCCGCGGCCGCGCTGCCGCCCTTGGCCGCTGCGAGGGCCCTCTTGATCTCCTCCTTGCTGGGGCCCGCGGTGCTGGCGTTGGCAGACACCTGGGCGGGTCGGGGATCGAGAGAGCAGCACGCCAGGTCAACGGCACAGCCCCGCGCCAGGATGCGACAGACGCAAGCCCTGGCGACAAGAACACAACCACGGCAGCGCACGCTCAACGCCATTGCGTCAAGACCACCGCCCCGCAGCCTGACCTCCCCTTTGCCCCCCCCTGAAGGGGCCCGCCCTCCCTCAAAAGTCGGGGAACCCTCACCTGCGCGAGCTCCTCGAGGCCGCCAAACCTCTTCTTGAACTTGTTCAGCTGGCCC